ACAAGAAGGCTATGCTTCATGTTTAAACCCACCCTCCCATACAGTAATTCTGGAGCCATGAGACAGAATTCATTTAACAAACTTACGGCCATCGGTGTTGACTACATGTAGGCAGATGAGGTGCAAATGGAGCAGCCCCTCAAGACCTGTTTCCATTGTGACCTTGGTTGCTGCTGGGCTTAGATCCCCTGCTGGAAGAGAACCTTGTTCCTTCTGGACCTACCTCTGTCTCCAGCTGAGGTACCGGCGTCACCAGGAATCTTTCCATGGATGCAGCAGCTGAATTCCCCCAGAAATGCCAGAGGGACCAGGAATCTTTCCATGGATGCAGCAGCTGAAGTCCCCCGGAAATGCCAGAGGGACCTACAGTACTTACAGCATCGCTTTCAGCTGTCAGGGAAAAGACCAGTCAGTAGAAGCCATTTTTTTAGATGGTTGAAGATGAGCAGGAGGTAAGGTTTGGTGGAAAAGGAACTCCCAGGGAAGATGTAGGTGGAGGGCTGTGGCTCAATGAATCCCCAGCGGAGCTTAGGAAAGAGGAAAAGCTACACCCTGGTGATTCAAGAGACCCCTGATTCTTCTTGGTGATGGCCAGAGACTCTCCTAATATCTGTACTTTCTGCAACAATCACTGTAGATACTGCCTAAGGAATGTGCGTCTCTGGCATGATAAAGGAGAACTGGATCAGTACTAGACATGGGGGTATTCGTAGTCATATACAAATACGAATACCCCCACACAGGTGGAGATAACAAGGGTCCGGCAGTGTGGACCATGGCATTAGTGCATTGGTGAGCGGACTGTCCGGCCCCATGGGTCCAGACCCCCGTTATCTCCACTTGAGTGGGGGTAGTCGTATACAGATACCCCTGACTCTAATTGGTACCTAAAAGAAATGGCAGTGATGCAGATGGCTTTGGGGAGAGGGATGGTCCAGGTGGTCACCTTCAGCCCATGTGAATTTGCTTGGGTTGCTACCATTTTGTTCGGTGTGCGCTGTCAAGTTGCGCCCAACTTGGGGTGACCCTAGTAAGATGTCTAAGGAGTGGCTTCCCTACTGCCACCACTGATGCGGAGTGGGAATTTGAACCCAGGTCTCCTGAGCCCTACCCTTTCCACCGCACTAAACCGGCAAGTGATACGTTGCCTCTCAGAGGCCATATTCTAATATGTTCTTGTTTCTTTGGGCTTCCATTCCATTTTGGATTGCCCGTGCGCATGCGGGATGGATAGCTGACTCTCGTGCACAGGCTTTGACTGCGTAGGTCAACATTGAGCTAGAATTTATTTTTCCCACTCCCTCTCCTTCTGTTTTTCCTACATTCTTTTTGGGGAAACATATTGCTGATGATTCCCTTTATTTGAAAAAAACACAACATTATTTATCTTGCTAGGGGTGCCATGCATGTTCCAGCATGGGTGGAAGCCAAATGCCAACCTCCTCATTTGGCCTAGGCACTGAGCATGTGGGTATGCCAGGCTATTGATGGGGACACTAAGGGAACATCTTCCATTACCCCCTCCCAACATGTATTGAGGGAGGGAAGGGAGGGGAGGGATGAGGAGAAGGGAGGAAGGGAGGGGAGGGATGAGGAGAAGGAAGGAATTTTGTCTATAAACCAAAGGCCCACCCACATTCCAAATGTTTATGGCAGTATTGTAGAGCCCACATCCCAGGTCATAGGACTTTTATTTCCCACATTTTCAGTGTTTCCCTCCTGATCTGGAAACACATACTTACAAAAATGTTCAGAAACCTGGGCACAAATTGGTTTGGGCCACCTCCCCATCAGCTCAGGGTAGGACAGCGTTAATTTGTATTATACATGTCTGGATCCTAAAAGGACTTGGCACCATTTGTATACCACCACCACCACCCCGTTTCAACCTGTATATTCTTCAGAGCTTATATGGAAAACATCATAGGCAATAATGATGTGACAGATGGAACTGAGAAGGCTAAGATGGATATTAAGCTAGGGTGAATATTTGGGAAATCTGATTGAAAGCCTAACATAAAGACCAGAGTCCTGGGTTGGCCTGTTCACTTTCTACAGTTGGAAATCATATCCTGAGATCTTAAAGGCTTGTATATGAAGACCGGATATTAAGCTAGGGTGAATATTTGGGAAGTCTGATTGAAAGCCTAACATAAAGACCATAGTCCTGGATTGGGCTGTTCACGTTCTACAGTTGGAAATCATATCTTAAGATCTTAAAGGCTGTATATGAAGACTGTATCAAGCTTTGGTGTTTTACTAGAATCATTTCCAATGTCAGCTTGCATGCAAAACGCTGAAGACCTTCTAGGACAATGGTTTCCCAACCTAGGGTCCTCAGGTGTTCTTGGACTACAACTCCCAGAAATCCTGGCCATCAGTCATGAAGACTTCTGGGAGTTTTAGTCCAAGAACATCTTGGAAGCCAAGGTTGGGAACCACCGTTAGAGGATGAACTGCTGGATACTTCTATGCTTGAGGTCTGTGGCTGCAGAGCCAGAGGTTGGGAGTTTGATTCCTCGCTTGTGCCTCCTTGATGGGCGTTGTACTTGATGATCCACAGGGTCCCTTCCAGCTCTGCAGATCTAAGATGATAATGATTACAATACACACATTTGCAGCAGATATGGGTTGGAATCCTGTTGATGCAGGTCCACGTGTGGAAGGCTGATGATGTCATCAGCTGTGCCCTTTTATCTTTAACTAAAAGTTTCCTGTTCCCCCAGGGCTCCAAGGCTTTCTAAGGACCCCTTTCAGCCTGGGGAAGCCTTTGGGGGCTCGAGGATGTTGAAAGAAGCCTTTCATGTCCAAAAATTTTAAAAAAATTCATTGTGTGATGAGATAGGAGAGTGTTATTGTTGTAAATACCATTTTAGCTTCATGGTTGCCACCTGCCTTGCAAATTGTTGCACCAGTTGCTGGGTTTGGTAACTGCACCAGTTGGGTTTCACGATGAGTCTTTTTCAGAAGTAGAAATTAAGCCAAATAATTCAGTGACAAATAAAAGAGCAGCTTAGCTAGACAAACACTGGGAGTCGGCGAATTTGAATAATTTCGAATTATGCTTAATATAGACCAGGGGGTTCCAACCTCGAGTCTTCAGATGTTCTTGGATTATAACTCCCAGAAATCCTGGTCAGTACAGGATTCTGGGACTTTTAGTCCAAAATTATCTGGGGATCCAAAGTTGAGAGCCACTGCCCCTGCTGAGTAATAACCTCCACAAGCCTCGGGCAAAGAATATGAAACACAAAAAAGGCACAGTATAAACATCCTGGACTAGATTATTTAACATTGGATAGGACAGAGCACAAAATCTGCTGTTTACAGATGTTGACCCTATAGAAGCCTGTGTTTCATTTCAGCTCCTCCATGTTCCTGAGGATACATCAGGACGATATGTCCTTCTAAAGTAAGCATGAGAAATGAATCCCCTCATTTGATTCTCATTGCTTCCCAACCTTGGGTCTTCCAGGTGTTCTTGGACTACAACTCCCAAAAATCCTGGCCAGCACAGCCAGCGGTGAAGGCTTCTGGGAGATTTAGTCCAAGAACATCTGGAAACCCAACTTTGGGGAATCATTGGCACAGATCTTTGCCTAGACACTTTTAGGGTTACATAAAATAAACTATTTAGAGAGAGGGTTAAAAAAGAAGAAGCTCTCGCTGTTAGAACCAGATGTACTTCCTACAGTAAACCCCGGCTTAGCTGTTGGCGCAAATACACATTTTGATGGATCTCAAGGCTGAGATCTATCCACCGAGCACAAGCATGTCATTGCCTGGTTTTGCACACTGTGGACATTTTAGATCTTTGCCTTGGCCTGTGAATCTTCTAGGCATTTCGAAAGATGAGTTATTGTTTCACTTTGGACCAAAGTGCTTTTATGATTGTAGAGAGAGAGCAAGCATGGGTCTTGTAGAGAGAGAGAGCAAGCAGGGGGAGTCTTTGATAGCCAGCTGGCATCTGGATATTGTGAACCCGGAAGGTAAACAGAGGCTGAGCAGGCTGTGCTAATGGAGAAAACAGGAAGGACAAAGAGGTTCTTGGTGTTGCTGTCTTTAACCCTCTACTCTAGGTGAAGAAAAGCCATCCGGTTGTGTTGACAGCTGTGCTGCAAACAGCATTGCCGGGCAACCGGTTGACAGAAAGAAGCTCCCTGGATGCCGAAATGCAATGGCTTCGTGTACCCTCACCCCAAGTCCACAGCAGTTTCCTTCCCAACATAAAGTAGGGTTCCAGGGTGGAACGGATGGGAATTGCCCTTGTTTTTGAAATGTTTCCCACCTCTTGCAGCTATGCGGGATGACCGATTTAGCTGGATCCCACCCAGGATCGGTCCTCTACTACAGATCCAATCCATTTAGGGACTGGATCTGTAAGGAAGTGGTAGCTTATCGTGGTTGGCATTAACATGCCTAGGATTCCATCGGCAATAATCTCCAGAACACAAAACATGAATGTCTGCAGACACACCAGTAGGTTTCTAAGCCTGCTGTTTACCTCGTGGGTGATGCAAACTACAGCATCTTGCTTGCTACTCTTCCAACTGACTAACAGTGAAAGAAGGCAAGACCTGTTTTACATAATGTTGTTGTTGTTGTTTAGTCGTTTAGTCGTGTCCGACTCTTCGTGACCCCATGCTTTTACATAATACACGGGCCAAATGGTGTCATTTTCTCTTGAGATGGAGGAGGAATGAGCAAGCTGAGATGGAGGAGTAATGAGAAACATGGACTACCTCTGGCCCCCCAAAAGCACCCCCTGGTCACTGCCTACTGGCAAAACCCACAACAGATTGTATACAAGGGAAGGAAAGCCAATCCTCTCTCCATCCACTTTGTTTGGCACGTAGGGTTAATCTTCTTTTATATCCAAGACAAACAGAAACCAATTCCATAGAGAAGTATCTTTAAAAAAGAAAAAAAGCTAGAGAGCAACCAAGAGAGAGAAAAGGAAGTGGAAAGATCAAGAAGTCAAAGGTTGCATTCCAACTAGCTATAGGAAATAGGTTTTTTTTTATTATTATTTCAACTTTTCATAAAAATCCATACTTATTGAAACCAAAAGTTACAGAAGAAGTTCGTAACTTTCTATTGATTGTTGTTTTGATTTTGTTGAAATTTCCCGTTCTCATTAGGATTGGCACCGGAGTCTGTTGGAGTAGATCCTACAAACACAGGAAGTTCTGGAGACGTCAGCCAAACGGTTTTCACAAAGAGGACAAGGAAGAAAGTGATGCGGGTTTTACGGGAAACAGAACGGGGAGGCCAGAGGAGCTTGGTGGAGAGAAGAGAGGTTGGTATGTTTGTTGTACTCTTTGTCTTTATTATTAGTATTTTCTCTCTTGTTTTAAAAAAAACAACAACACAACAACCCCTCTTTATCAAGTTTTGTCGATTGCTTCCCCCCCCACAAAACCCCATTAGATCATTTTCATATTGAACTTGCGTGGCGCGTCAGCGGCCGAGCTGATGCCCGCGTCCGACTTGCGTGGGACGTATTCGATCTCAATGTTGTGCTTGGTATTGCCTTTGCCCCGGCTCCAGAGGAAAAGAAGCACCAGGCAGAAGAGCACGACCCCCAGGAAGGAGATGAAGCCCATGGTGGTGGCAATGATTAGGGTCTTGATGTCAAAGGGGAAAGGCACGGTGGCGCGCGTGCTGTTGGCATCACTCTCGTTGGGCTGGTTCGAGATGAAAGCAAAGGTCTTGTTGGGCTGGTGGGGCCAATCCGGGGAGTAGCTGCGGACGTGCAGGTGGGCCAGCATGGTGTCGTTGCCGCCGGCGTTGCTGGCGATGCATAGGTAGGTGCCATTGTCTTGGATCTGGGCGTAGCGGACCTCCAGAGTCCCATCGGGGAAGACGGTGAGCCGGCCGTTGGTTTTGGTAGAAATGAGGTGCTTCCTTGGGGAGAGCCACATGATGGCGGGAGGTGGGTCTCCATCCGCCCGGCAGATGAACTGCACCGTGTGGCCCTCGTCCACAAAGATCTGCTGAGGTTTGCGGTCCCGTATCCGAGACCGGCGGCAGATGAAGTAGTTGGGCAGCAGAGCCTCGGAGAAGTCCTTGAACTCTTTCCCCTGGACAAATTCCGGGGTTGCACAGGTGGGTTGTCGTTTGTTGAAGTTTAGCCTCCAGCGACGGCGGAAAATCCAGAGGAGCCGACAGTCACAGGCCAAGGGGTTGTTGTCTATGATGAGCGTCTCCAGGTTCCCCACAGAGTGGAAGGCTGACTCTTCCAAGGTGTTCAGGAGATTCCCCGAAACGTTCAAGATGCGCAGGTAGTTCAGGCCCCGAAAAGCGTACGGTTCCACCACAGTGAGCTGGCCGCCCACCAGCTGGATCTCTTGAAGCCTGAGGAGGTCATGGAGCATGGACCCTTCGATGGTGGAGATGGGATTGTAGGACAGGTTCAGGAACCTGAGATAGACCAAGTGCCTCAAGGAGACGTAAGGGATGGAGGTCAAGTTACAGTGGGTGATGGACAGGGACGTCAAGTTCAGTCCGTACAAGCAGTTGGACGTCATGGTATCTAAATAGGGCCAGTGTGAAATTTCGAGGACCTTGAGTCTATAGAGCCTCCGAAAGGAGTAATCCCTGATGGCGTTGATGTTCAGGTGACGCAACCGGAGCACAATTAAGCCGTGCAAGTGAGAAAGGGCTTCCGTAGGGATGGTAGTCAAATTGCATTTTTCCAACGTCAGCTGCTCTAAGCTGTTGAGGCCACTAAAGGCCCGGTGGGATATATAGACCAGGTCATTATCCCCAACCTCCAAAGACTTGAGGTTGTATAAATCCTGGAACATATAATCCAGGAGGATCACAATTTTATTCTCACTAATGTCCAACTTGGTCAGGTTGCTGAGTCCGGTGAACACCCCGAGAGGGATGAGTTTGAGCCGGTTACTCCTGAGACCGAGAGTCCTGAGGTTGAAAAGATTGTTGAAAGCTCCCGGCTCGATGGCACTGATAATGTTCTCGTTTAGCTCCAGCTCCTCCAAGTGAGGATAATTGGCAAACTCATCCTGGTTGAGAGTCTTGATACGGTTCTTCCCCAGGTCCAAAAGTTTGGTCTCGGTAGGAATCCCCTCGGGGACGGTCAAGAAGCGCTTCCGGTGACAGAGCACGGAGCGTTCCTGGGCAGAACAGTCACAGCGGGGCGGGCAGCCCGTGGCGGAGCCTGAAAGGATGGAACCCAACATCAAGATCAGGATTGGCTGCCAGCAGGCCAGGATTGGGCTATACATGCTCAAGTCGCCCACGACCATCCTATCTTTCACCTGTAAGCAATAATGAATAGGGTGACAGAGAGAGAGAGAGAGAGAAGAGAAGGCGTTAGAAATGAAGAACATCAAAATCATAAACATAGCATAAAAGACAACATCATTAAGTCCATAAAGGGAATTTAAAAAAACCCCAACAGCAAAACACAACTAAGAGGTTTCCTCTTTAAGGCCAACAGATTGACTATTGCTGAAGTCCAGTAGTAAGTTGCGACTTGAGTAGGACCATTGAATCGGTGAAACTTGCAGAGGAGTTGACTCACCACAGATTTCATGGCCCTGCTCTAGTGCAGCTTCCTGCGCTAAGCGACAGGATCGCAGCCCAGGAAAAGGAATGATTAAAAACAAAAGCAAAGTTACAGCCTTTAAGACTCAGTGAGACGCATGCAGTGTCTGGAGAGGTGGGTTGTAATCCACAAACATTTACAACGAAATAAATATCTTGGTCTTAAAGATGCCACCGTCCTTTCAGTTCTATTTTTGTCCCTGTTCAAACAAAGCCGCCATGGCTACCTATCTCAAAACAAAGAGGACAGATGTGCTCATAAAACACCCAGGATATTGTAACCTCTCTCGTTTTCAAACCTAAGGGCCACTTCAGCCAATGAATGTTTTGGACTTTCTCTCTCTCCCTCTTTCCCTGTTCATTTCCCCTCCTAATATTAAACATAACTGAAGAGGTCTGGACAACTTAACACAGTCTGAGGATGTTTCAATGGGATCTTAATAAAAGTTGGACCTTACTTCTACAGTATTTTTGTGCACTCCAGTGGTTGATACATTTTTGAAATGCTTCCGAGTTGTGTCAAGGACTGGGGATAACAGAGATGGCTTGAGAAGAATGGGCAACGGCACAAAAGAAAGTCTACACTTAGGACATTAATGCAAGGAACACCCTCTTCCCCAAGGCACTTGCTTTTCAACTGATTCTTGGACATGAGAAAGCATTCAAATATCCCACACAAACCCAGCATGCTACAGGCCTGTACTTCATGGCTGAACCAGTTTCGGAGCTTGATCTTTTGTTAGTATCTGGAGGATTTTTGCAGCCAGCCCCTTCGAGGTGCAGTGGAATCTTAGAATTTATCAGAGAACAAAGGGATGTAAGGCTTGAGTAAAGACATGCTTGACCGTCCCCTAACAAGCTAGAAACAGATGGACATGTTGACGAACTCCTTCTGAACTTGGAAGGAACAGATTGCAAAGTAGAGCTTTGAAGCCCAATCCTCTGCGTTGAATCACCAAGCGTTGTTTGGGCCAGGCGTCTAATGAGGAAGGTGAAGAAAAAAAAAATCCATCCGCGTTGCTAAGACTTTGCTAGAGGCCCATGAGAGGAGAAGAATAACTTGGGAGCTGCACTAAGATCCTTTTCTGGGTCAAGGTGAGCCTCGGAAGCTCCATGAAATGCAAAGCTGATGCTTCTGGGGTCGTGGGCTCATCACTGTTGACTCCTTGCCATAACCCCTTGATGAGATAATTGCTCCCAGCGTTATAACTCAGGAACCAGCCGGTACCAAGAGGGGAGTCTGCATTCCGCTCATGTATGGCAAGGAGAGCTGGCTCCGTTAATGAGGCCCTGGCTCCAGAGATGAGAGACATCCAAATGATAGCAGCTTCTGGCTTAGTTAGCAGAAGCAGCTGCTAGCTTGCAACAGTGCACAAGGAGCTCCTGCTTGGAAAATGGACAGTACCATCTATCTTTCTCTCTGCCCCAAATAAACCCCCCCCCCCTCCTTACAGTGTCTCAGAGAAGGGAGAACCAAGCAACAGATTGAGGCAGGCAGAGTTCCAGACTGTACCATGTCAGGATCAATTGCATTTGGAAGATGGCTATGCTTCTGTTTCCTTCATGAGATACTGATTTCTTTTTTTCCTCCTGCATGCAATGAGCTCATGATGAGAAGCAGGGGAGAGCATGAAAAAAGAAGAATATTAAAACTGCAACGTCAACCTGCAGTCTGAAATGGTACAGTCCAGAATTCTGTCCCCTTATTCTGCATGTGGTGTGGATGATTCTGAGACTCAAGAGCACTCCAGGGAAACATCAGGGCCACCCAATGCATTTTGCTGCTGGAGGTTTATAGCTTAGCTGATGGCGGGATTGCAACTGGATGTGATATGATCCAAGTTTTGAAGTAAGAAGTTATAGGTAATGCAGTTAAATGCAACTAGTTCTGTTTGGGGAAATGAGAGCATAACCAAGTTACATTTCAAACATCATGCATTGAGCACAATGACATTAACTCTACCAGTGTAACTCCTCACTTTCTAGTTATTTTCCAATGCTACTTTTAAAGGATATTTTAAGGGCTCTTTTGCCAGAAGGTGTATAATATTCTTTTATGAATCCTAAGGTTTAAAAGGGAGGGTGACAGAAATGTAAGGTAACAAATAATGAGTTACTTTCTCAGCATTATCATGGGTACTTACACTTAATTAAAGGTATAACACATGCTTACTAAATTTCCTGATAAAAATGGTATCTTAACACATTAACACTCCCACCCCAAAAAAGGCACTTCCTGAAGGATTTTTTTTCTCATACACAAGAGGAAGATGATGATGATACTTATTTTGATCAACATCCCATCCGCACCAAAACCCACTGCGTTTTTGCACAAAAAAAATGTACATTTTCCATTCAAAACCTTGGATTTCACAGAAATTTCAAGGTTCTCCATGGAAGCGCACAAGGTTTTTTGTGTAAAAAAGATAGATTCTTCTATGCAAAATGCACAACCTTTTCCTGCCCCCCCCCACATAGATGCAAAGTGTTCTTGAAGAAAATGAAGAATGAAGAAAAAGGGCAAGGTCTTCCATAATGACTGCCAAGAGGAAGAACACATGCTTTTTTTTATTTCTCCTGGGAGAACCAAATAAGCAAAAATTACTTTACTGGAGCAAGTTCAGAGGAGAGCAAGAAGGATGATGAGGGGACTGGAAACCAAGGCCTAGGAGGAAAGACTGAAAGAATTCCCCATGTTTAGCCTTGAGAAAGGAACACTGAGGGAGATGTGATAACACTTTTTAAATACTTGAAAGGTGGTCATACAGAGGAGGGCAGGATCTGTTCTCGATCATCCCAGAGGGCAGGACACACAACAATGGGCTCAAGTTACAGGAAGCTAGATTTCAGTTGAATACAGTCATGTCCCGCTTAACGATTGCCCCGCATTATGACAAATCCGCTTTACGATGATCTTTTTGCGATCACAACTGCTAGGGGTTGGATTTGATGGTCTTACAGGTTCCTTCCTACTCTGTTATTCTATGTTTCTACGGCAAGTTAGTTCAAAGGAGTAATACTGGAATAAGTAAAGAGAAAATACAATGTTCTGAAAGATAATTTCCCAAGATCTCAGTACAACTGGAGCGATGGGGGAGCCAAGGCTTGTGTATATGTGGAAAAGAAGAAAAAGCTGGAGTATTTGAAAGGCAAGCATGAGAAACCCTAGAAGTGGCTGTGGAAAAGAAATCCACAGATTATGCCATGGTATGATCTTGACTCTGTGTGATCTTCAGAATCGTGGTGAATCGCAGTGCAATTTCAGGTGAACCCTGAAACCACAGTAAAGCTTAAAAGCTTAAAACCCTCGCCTTCCCAAGATCAAGCAAGATGTTTAAAAAATCTAGTTTAGAAGCAGTAGAAAAACCAGGACAGTCCTCCAAAACATGGCCGTTATGAATCCAGAAATAACATCTCCTTAAACTTTGGTTTCAGAGATATAATGCAGAAGATGACTAGCAAGTGTCCCTCAGGTCACCAAATGTCTTGGTTAAAATGCTAACTTCTCGGAATCTGAATTTCTTCCTCTCCCGAACCTCTTTCTTGCAGGAGAAAAAGATCTGCATCCTATTTTAAGCTCTTTAAAACGTTCATTTCCCTGGAGAGGGAGCTGGGGGATCAGTGAAATGCAGTTTGAATGAGGAACTTCTATTAAACTGGAGCAGCAGGCAAAAAAACTCCAAGGCAAGCCACCTCAATCATACCAAAATATGTCCCATAAATGCAGATGTTTCTTCAAGTCTAGCCTTGCTGACCACATGGGTGTGTCCTCCTAACTTTTGACCTTTCCTTTTTTTTCCCCATGCATTTGTGCCAATATTTTCCTGATAGGCTGTACATGTTAAGTGCTTCCTGATGAACGGAAGCAGGAAGGGAACTTTTTAACCCCTTACAGACTGAATCCAGCTGGCAGCACCAAGTAGAGCGAACCCATCGAATCTATAGCAAGTGTGGATGCAGGAATTGAGTTAATGGGCCCACTCTAGTTGGGGGTTGGCAAGAAGATTTAGACTCAGAGGTTCAGAACTTCAGCTCCCCAAAGCCTCAGTCAGGCTGGCCAATGGTAAAGGGTTGGGAGAACTGTTGTCTCAAATATCTGAGGACGTAATATTCCTGACCCCCTAAATTAGACCCTTTGGGTAGTTCTGCCACTGCTGCTAGCTCAGAACATCTCTTCCTAAGAACCCCACTCGATACATCTAATTGAGCATAGATGGGACTTAAAATGTTGTAGTCAACTCTTTGGGATAATTTACCGTATTCAAAAATGCTGGTACAGTTGAAGATTTATTTTCAACCTGATGTAGCAAACCCAAAACACTGGTTAAGGACTTTCTGTTCTCAGAACTGGGAAATTGGCAGATGTATAAGGCCTCGGCATAACTGGGTCCCTCACCATTCGGATTTTTAGGGTTTCCTTCAGCCTTCTTCAACCTGATCCCCACCAGATGTTTTGAACTTCAGCTCCCATGCTGGTTGACCAATATGGGGCTGAGTCTGGAGGAAATTGATCTCCAGAACATTCTGAAGGCATTTGGAAGTTGGGAAAAAGTATCCGATGCTATAAGAGATCAAAAACTGATGATCGTCTTCACGTAGTGTATCACGAAACTATAGAAGCCACTACCACATCCCAGTATGTCATAGTAACTGCCAGTTTTGACCTGGCTTTAGAAGGGGACTATATAAATTCACAGAGGGTAAGGCCATC